GCCTCGATGAACTCGGGGTCGCGCCACGGCGCGATCGTCTTGAGGCTCGCGTTGAGCGCCTGCGCGCAGAGCTCAAAGCGCACTTGGTCGTTGCCCTTGCCCGTCGCGCCGTGCGCCACGTACTTGCAGCCTTCCTTCTCGGCGATCTCGACCATCTTCTTGGCAATGACCGGGCGCGCGAGCGACGTGCCGAGGAGGTAGCGCGACTCGTAGATGGCGTTGGCCTGGACCGCGGGCCAGAGGTAGTCGACGACAAACTCCTTGCGGAGGTCCTCGATGTAGACCTTGGCGGCGCCAAGCGCCATGGCCTTGGCCTGGACTTTTTCAAAGTTTTCGCCAAACTGGCCGACGTTGGCGCAGTAGCAGACGACCTGGAAGCCCTTGTTGACGAGCCACTTGAGGATGATGGACGTGTCGAGGCCGCCGCTGTAGGCCAGGACGACCTTGTCGCCGGGGTTCGCCTTGACGCTCATGATGGGATCGGAGTGCTGGAGCAAGTTGCAGAATGAGCCATCCAAGCCCGATCCATGGACGGTCGCCAGTCGCGATCTTTTTTGTATTTTTATTGTTTATTTTATTTCTTGGATTCCAAGTGGCAAGAATTTTCCCGCGATCCATCGTCAAGTGGGTCAGACTCACCAGCTGTCACAACGGGCAACCACAGCCGTACAACAAACCTTGATGCTCACGGACTTGATAGAAGAAGCAGCGCCTACTGAATGTGCTGGCATGGACGTCTAGCAGCCACACGCGACGGAGGCTCCTGGATACCAGTGTGGAGCGGCTAAAGGGTGGTGCGACTAGCCAATGTGGGCAGCTTTGCTACTTCAAGTCGGCGGTATGTGGCATCTCCGACGATGTCCATCGAAGCGTGCCGAAGAAGACGTGTCTTATGAGATGCTGCTTGGCTCTCGGCTGCTGCTTGGCACTTGGCTGCTGCTTGGTGAGGCGACCGGCAATGTACATTCTTATGGACGTCAACGTCGCGCAGAGTCCACAAGAGCACCTAGGTGTCCATTGATGTGTCGGTGGATGATGATCGTCCTGGGTGCATATGCCCACGACTTGGTCAAGGCAGCAAGACATGACCAAGACATGGCCGAGCTTTGGCACCCGGTAGCTCTCTCCAGCAGCGTTCAAGTCGCAGCCAACACTGCAAAGGATCGATTCACTTACTAGTGACGACGCCTCGCGTGCTAGATGCGACGCTTTGTCTGCCTCGCATGTGATTACAAACACACTGTTCTCGAGCTGGCGTAGGATCATCAACGTACATGAGGCGGCAAAGGCCATGGCGACGACGACGCTACGCTTCATGACTCGGACCTAGGACTTCGCAACGACTACGCGCTTCGAGTCGTGTGTAGTGAGGACAAGCAGTGGCGTCAAATGAAAGGCTTGTGAGAGGAAACTCAAGCTGCAAACACGACTTGAGGAGACCGAGTGGCCGTTTCCGCAGGACGCTCTTGGTAGATAGTGCAAAGTGGATCTTGAACCGTCGTCATGACGCTCCTCTCGTACTACCGCGGGCTCCTCGCGCTCGCCACGTACGCGCTCTTTGTCTCGGACGTCTTCCGCTCCGGCTTTGGCATTGAGTTTACGCACCGCGCCATGATCGAGCCCCACATCTTTAGCGACAGTGGGCCGTTCAACTATGTCGTCGCGTCGCTCTCGACCGATCCCAGCAGCGACATCGTGCCGGCCGACGTCTCGCACTATACGAGCAAGCCGTCGTCGCTTGGTCTCCAGGCGGTTGCGGGCTTGTTATCGTCGCCGCCGCCGCCCCCGACCTCGGTCTCGGATGTGTTCAACTACTTGGAGGTCCTGATGACGGCGCTCGGAACCTTTGGCGCGAGTCCGTGGAGCCAGCGAACGCACGTGCAGGTGGCCGCGCGCGCCAACGCCAACGCCTACTTTGAGGGGAATGGGCTCCTCGGCAGCATGACCGACAGCAACGTCTCTCGCACGTAGTACACTAATATGGTCCTTCTTGCAGAGTACTATGGACAACTCTTTTGGATAGGACGTGGGTCGCTGCGTTCCGCGCGCCGTCCAACGTCTCGGCCTTGGACATTTGCGGTGACGCCAACGACCGCCCGCTCTTTTGTGAAAAGACGTGGGCATACTGCGCGTGGATTCAGCAGACGCCGCCTGACGACCGCTGCGACGCCGAGAACCTCTGGAGTGCCGTCCACGCCAACGCGATCGCCTTGAGCCAGCCCGTTTACCGTGTGCTTGGTATCCACAACCTCTCAACCGCAGCTGCGTAGGGCGATCTCGTCGATGTACTGACGATCGAGTCCGAGTCGGACCCAATCACGTACAGCGGCAGCGGCGTCCTCCTCTCGCGCAGCACGTACGACGTGGTCGTGCTCACGCGCACGAAGCGCTGCGACAGCAGTGGCGTCTGCCGCACGACGCGTATCCACGACTACCGCTACGAAGGGTACGCTAAGAGTTGGCGTGCACTTTTCATGTCCAAGTAGGGAGATTGCCGTCACGGACGTCGAAGAGTGGTTCTCGACGGTGCGGCTCTTGCGGGTGACGGGCCAGAGCTACAACGTGCTGCGCTTTCTGTGCCTCGTGCTCGGCTCCGTCGGCGCGTCGCGCGCCAGCAGTCTGCGGGGCCGCGTCACGGACGGCCTCTCGATGCTCTCGCGCATCCCACCACAAGTCGTTGTCTACGGCAGCTGGATCCCGCTGCTCTGCTACACGCTCGCGCTCATGATCGACGCGACCATGTATCACTCGATCACGTGGACCGATCTCCGGTTTTTGGATTATAAATATTGTGGTGTGGACACATTGTCTTTACGGCTTCCATGCATGTAGGAACGCGTCGGTCTCGGACTGGGCCGAACTGGCGGCCATCCACCTGCGCAATACGTGGCTCATGGCGCTCCTTGTGCGCATCGGCGTCTTCTTCCGCATTGGCGCAACGTGGAACACGCCGACCGGTCCCTCCTCAACACCTTCTAGAGCTTCCGTCTTATCGACGAGGCGTAGAGTGGTGGGGTATCAAAGGCCACATGTACGGCCTCGTCTCGATCGCGTCGTTCTTCTTCATCGTCAAGGACCCACCGCCTGCCAGCACGCTAGTCGCTTCGTGGCCGGTACCCTCCTCTCTGGTCTCCTGGATCGTTGGTGTCCAAGTGGTGTAGATGGAGCCATCATCGGCTGTCGCACTCATCTACCCCAACGTCTTTACGGCTTGGAACACCAAGATGGGCGGTCTCTATGCCGAGGGCATGGCGATCCTCGTCGTGCTGGGCCTCGCCAGCGGCGGCTGCTTCTTTTACGTACGCTCGACAGTATCGTCGTAGTAACGTTGTGAGGACGATGGACTAGTGGCTCGGGCCGCGCTTCTGCGACGGCTTTCGGCGCGGCCCGCACGTGTCTACAATGCCGCTGCTCTATTTTGCAAAGTCGACTGCAATCCCAGCCGCCGCCGGTGTCCTCTGGGACGCGACCTTCTTGAGCGTCAGCTGGGACACCGACGTCCTCCTTCCGACAGGCGCCTTTCAGGTATTGATACCTGCTGGTCTAGTCCACCACATCATGTCATATTCTCGATCTGGATCGCAGGACACGGAGGACCGGCACCGACTCATCAACATTGTGGCGCTCACGGATCCGCTCAACTACCTCTGGCTGCACTTTCACGCGACGCGGATTGCGCTCAACAAGTACCGCGTCGAGGGGACGAAGGACGTTTTCTGGCACCCGGCGCCCGAGCACAAGGTCAACGCCGACCGAGTCGACGGCGACAAGGCGACGCTCATCGCCACGTCGCTCGTCAAGCGACTGCCGTGGCGCGACTGGGTCGACTGCCGCTAAGACGCTAGCCTGTTGAATCGGCCATCGCGAGTCGTCTTGTGTTTCTTGAGCAGTAGCGACCAAAAGGGACTAGATAAAGATACTTTGACTGAGCGTACGATGACGATATGTACAATTTGGAACGAGCTCGATGCATTTAAAAGAGCACGAGCGACGAGCGGACACCTAGCTTTGTCTGGGCTGGGCCGCGCGCCGACTTGAACCAGCACGTGCCGCCATTGACATTGCTCCACACATGGGCTTGGCAGCTCCAGTTGTTTCGACAATAGAGGGTCAATTTACATATGCGGCGTTTCCCTGCACGAACATATGTTCCGTTAGGACCGATTGACTGCATGAGAATACGCGGAGACAGCTGCAGGCAGCGTTATTGGCACGAAATGATTGTGCTTCAGAAGATAAGGCACGCATTGGCGACTCACATGTCAATGTCTAGAAGTGTTTACAATATGACCACACGAAGCTAGTTTTCAAAAAAACTGAAAGGTCAAGAGATGTCAGTGTGACCGAGCGGTCCAACCGGCAAATGAGATTTCTCGATTCTGGCCGACGGCATGTGGAGCGGGCCCGCGGCTTCAAACTTGATCTTGTTGCGGGGCATCCACAGGTGGCAGAGCGCCGTGGCGACGAGGCTGTACCAGAGTCGGACGAACACGTGACGAAGCGGGCGTGCGTGGCGCGGAACCGCGAACGTCTCCGGGTGTACCACGGTGTCCCATGACCACGAGATACCGGCAGCCGACCACGCGGCCAGGTACCAGTCCCAAAGCGGCTGAACGTCGGGGCACGCCCACAGCGCGTGCCGCTCCGTCTCGACGGCGAGGCAGCCCTCTCGAGCGCAATCGAGGGCACCCTTCGCCCCCGAACGCGAAAGACCGCAGCGTGTGGAGCCCCGTCCCGGCGACGACCTTGTCAAACGAGCGAAACTTGTAATACTTGACCGCGAGACTCATCTTGCCGTCGGGCGAGCGGTCGACTTGGTACAGGGGGTGCATCTGGAGCCAGATCGGTACGGCAAACATGTTGGCCAAGCGGCGCCGCGGGTCTGCGTCGACGTGCATCTTGGAGGCCCTCCAGATCGCGGTCCAGTGGTGCCAAATTTTGACCCGGAGCGGCGACATGGCCGTCGAGCGTACAAGGCTCGTGCCATGCGCGGGTAGAAGTACAGAAAGTCAAACTGACCAGGACGTGCAAATGGCGCGAGGCAGTCGTCGAGATGCCAGCGGGCGAGGCCGACCCACGGCTGGTCGGCGTCGTCGGCATTTGTCAACGCGGTCTGGGCCGTCTCTGCCCGCTCGTCGACGCGCTGGAGCTGGAACTCCCTCGACTCTGTTTGCGCTTTTGCTTGAACCGCTGGTGACGACCCAACGCTATCGGAGACGCTCGGTCGCCATGATGTGGCCGATTCGACGCGCTTGCGTGCTCCACACCGTCGGACTAGCCCAAAACGAAGACCGCACACACAGACCGAATCTTCCGTCCCGAGGCGCCCGTTGCGACGCTCAAAGCAGCCGCCACGCGCGCCGCGCTCTTGACCAAGCTGCACCTTCAACATTTGCTGCTGAATACCCAAGCGCTGTGTCTCTTCCAAGTGATGGACGTCCTGCGCCACGACGCCTGGCTTCGCGACCACCTCGCTCCGGCTTGCGCCATCCATACGCCTCGCCTTCGCGACGGCTAAGCCTCGCTGCTACCGTCAGTCGCAACACGCTCCGAGTTGAAAGTCCACCTCCAAGAACACTTCAGTGTACATACATTATTGAGATAGACTCACTTGAACAGCAAATAACTCGTGGCAACAACAACTACTCCAGTCCTCGTTACGTGTCATTTCGTCCTTCGGCTTCGACACGACGTATACGTCGACGTTTGTGACGACACAGTTGCTCTGTAGTCATAGCCCCCGTGTCCACCAAAATGTGCCGTCCATAATGAATGCATCCAAATACCACGCCTCCACCAGCGCAGCGGTAGGTTGGAGCGGGGTAAGATTCCAAATGTGCCCACTTTTCGTCCCAATGTGTCGACTTTTCACGAAACGGCCAACTATCGACTCTTTGCATAAAAACTCTCTGTCGGTGCTTGAGGCAAAAAACGATTGGCCAGCAGCTCTCGAGCTCTCGCATGCAAGATGTCCTGCGTTCCAAATAGGCGTTGACATTTCACTCATCAGCACATTTGGAGTTTCACAAGATTGGAGCCAGTACTGCAGTGTTGCTTAACGCGAATAAACGTCATATCTATCTACCTATCTACCTGGAGCGCGACTCAGATTCGATTAGGGCTTGTCGATCTCGCGTAGTTTTACCACTCTGATCTTGGCAGAGCGGACGGGATGCATCCCGTTCGGCTAATATGGTCGATTCCTTTTATTAACCTTACCAGTTCCACAGTCGTCGTTGACCTTCTCCATGAGCACCAGTGCTGTCAACATGCTATCTATTGACTTTTGCGTATGGGGGTAGGGTAATGGGTACATGTGTACTGTATACGTAGGACGATCGTGGGTGATGATGAGTCTTGTTGC